CCAGCGCTCATACACTAGGAGCCTTTCAGCTTCAGTTTTTGTTCCTATAGATGAAATAGCAATGTGAAAGGCTCAGTACACCCAATGGCTCATTTTTTCTTTAGTCTGCCACCCAGTCTACAAAGCCAACTGCTATTTAGCAAAGCTGTTTAACCTGAGGTGGGTATAGACACACCATAAGTGTCAAATATTGAGTTAACGATACACTCACCCTGTAAAGCTGCTTCACGAACTGTCACCATCTGAATGTCAGCTGTGTCATCTGTGTTGTCAGGATATGGTTCAACAAAACCGTACATATGAATCAGTTGCCAGTTAGCCATTTGCCCATAAGTGTTGAAAATCTCATGGCCTTTAGGAATGGGCTGAGTGGCTACCATCCGAAGACAATTCTGAGGTGAAAGGGAGAAGCTGGGGCCATGCCTTTCACGGGCCAGCCCCATGAAGATTACTTCCACTTAAGAGCCTTTAGCAGGTGTAGTTCAGCCATGGGACTGATGCTGTTAGCTACCAAAGTTCTACCTTTAGTTCCTGTTAGACCCTGAACTGTGAAACAAAAAAGGGTTAGGCTAACTTTCAAAGGCCAGCTTCATGTTTAAGTGGGTGGATTTCTGCACAGTCCTCTTCAGCACTTAAAAAGTTGCTAGCTTTAAAAATGAAATTTTTGGCCGGGCGCGGTGGCTCACACCTGTAATCCCAGCGCTTTGGGAGGCCAAGGTGGGTGGATCACCTGAGGTCAGGAGTTCCAAGACCAGCCTGGCCAACATGGCGAAACCCTGTCACTACTAAAAAATACAAAAATTAGCCGGGTATGGTGGCGGGAGCCTGTAATCCCAGCTACTTGGGAGGTTGAGGCAGGGAGAATTGCTTGAACCCGGGAGGCGGAAGTTGTAGTGAGCTGAGATCACGCCACTGCACTCCAGCCTGGGTGACACAGCAAGACTCCTTCTCGGCGCGGGGTGGGGCGGGGGAATGAAACTTTCGCAGATCAAAGTGGGAAAGGAAAATGGAGGCAAGGATTAAGAAATAACCATACTTAACTAATTTTCAATCCTATAAATGTGTCATCTTTTCAGGCAACTTTTCCGTATAGAACAGAGCTGGTAAAAACACAGCTTTATACCAGTTCTAGGATCATCTTAGACCTCTGGCCTGTGAATGTCCTCATCCCTACAAAACACGGAGATTATCACTGTTTCAGGCTGCTATCCACAGAGCCACACACAGTCTGGGCTCACTGATGTGATCAGCCAGCAGGGAATGAAACATGGCTATGCAGACCACCCAATCTCTAGCACTAAATAAATGATGGTAGTATAGTTTATCAGAGGGTTAACCCCAACTTTGAGGACTTTAAAATGTTTTGCATTCAAATGATTCTACAGTAATAAGCACACTAAAAGTACATACAGGAGGAGTTGATTTCACCTACTCATTTTGTAGCATTAGTAAGAGAATGGAGCCTAAGACACAATGGCTTGAATCATGCTCAGTGCACCAATAAGAACTCCACTCACCGCAGAATATTCTAAATTGGCATTGTGATTGGCTAAGTGGTTTAGTATGTCTGCAGCAGGCACCATCACTGGGGAGTTGGGCTCCTTTTCATCCTCCTCTTCTTCCAGTGGTTCCTGAAAGCTGCCATTGACAGAACCTGGCTAAGGTCCTGTCTTGGGTGAGGGATTGGGGGTGGATTTCATTGTTTTTCCCCTTTTGTCCCTCTACAGTTCTAAAGAAAAGGGTTCCGTCCTCAGAGGCCCCACCCACTGACCTATAGGCCATCACAAGGGCCACGAGCTGATGGTAGAGTTCTAGGGAGCGAACCCTGAGGCTGAAGAGATTGGGGTGGGCTTCCATGAAGGGCAGCACGATGGAGTGGTACTCGCTGCGGATGTTGGCCAAATCCTTCTCCACGGCCTCAGGTACGCCTGTGCCCTGCAGCAGGCACCGGCGCTCCTCCTCTGGCCTGCAGGGACACCCACACCCAGGTTCCCTTCATCCGTTCACACACTTTACTGGGCAGGACTGGTGCAGGGGCGGGTGGCGGGGAAACTTCCTGCAGCAGGCTACGGTGCAGGCGTTCCCCAACCCCTCCCAAAGTTCTCACCAGAACATCGGGTGCTCCAAGCGGCCCAGCTCGGGCCAGAGCGCAAAGTACGGCCTCCAGCGTGAGGCCGGGGCCTGCAGCTCGTGGAGGAGCGCCAGCAGCAGTGGCACCCAGCCCGACTGGCTCTGCAGCGCGCCTTGCTCTGAGGGAGACACAGGTGTGAGCGCCCCGGCGCGGCCTCGCGGGCCCGTCCCGCCCAGCCCCAGAGCCCTAGCCCGCCGCCGTGCCCACCTCGCTCCAGCAGGCCGCCAATGGAGCAGGTGTGCTGCGACAGGAGGGCGGCCCGCGGTACCACGAACAGCAGCTCTCCGGCCTGCACGCTCTCCCGGGCCACCATGCCGTAGCCGGCCACCGTGCCCTGCCGGCTGACCGCCACCTGAGCAGGAGGAGGGCTGGTCAGGGCAGCCCGCGCCCCGCCGCGGGTCCTCCGCCCGCCGGCTCGCTCGCTCACCTTGGGACTCAGCTCCAGCCCCACCCGCCGGCACCAGTTCAGGAAGCCGGCCACAGGATCCGGGTCGCCGCCGTCCACAGGCCCCGCCACCTGAGATAAGTGCGCGCAGTGACCAGGCCCGGCCCCAGAGAGCCCGCTGGGAACGGCAGGAGACCGCGACGCGTGCGCGCAGAACGCGCTTTGGGTGGAGGTGGGGACGAGCGGAGAGGGGCGCGGGACCCGCGGGAGGGAGCGGAGGGGGCGCAGGCTCATGGCCCTGCGGGCGGAGGAGGGGTGAGGCGCGAAGGAGAAGGCTGGACCCCGCAACCGCCACTCACCCGTGGGCGCTTCGTCTGGGTCGCCATGGTCTGAAAGCGCGCCGCCCGGTGGGCCCGTGGAGCGCGCGGCCACTTCCGGCGTCTCTGGCCCCGCCCCGGCGCCGGAACCACGTGGTGCCTGTTTTGGCGTCCACGCTGCAGACCGGCCGGTGTTAGCGCTGGCTGGAATCGTTCCTACTGATAACATCTTGAGTCTAGGATCTCCAATTGCACTCGCGCGGTCCGAGTGCAGAAGGAGCGTCCCGTGCCGCTTGGAGCCTGGTTCTGAGCCAGGTACAACCCTGGCCTTTGGTCTGTCCCCGAGGGCTGAGGCTTCTTGCGGTCTGGGTGTAGGAACAAAATACGGTTTCTGGATCGGAAGCCGAGGGTCTGGCGGCCGGCCGGTGGTGAGCGACGCATCTGGGTGGCCAGCGACCTCCTGATCTCGACTCCTTGTTACCGATGGCCATGGAATCGTTTTACTGGTGGTATGCGTTCAGAGCAGTTTTCGTGTGTGTTTCGGAACAGCGTGGCCTAGAGGGCTCCTGGATCTAGAATAGATCCTTTCTGCCCTTATTTGCCAGTACATCCTCGTTTTTTAATCTACTGCATAGCACGTGGTGGGTTTTATTACCTGACATAGTAAGGACTCAATATCTACCTATTGGGTAAATAAATGAATAAAACAAATGGTGGTTAAACCTGGGGAAGCAGCATGCTGTTAAATTTAAGAAAACGAGACTGTGAATAAATAAATGAGGTTACAGGAATGGGTTTTGAAACCAAGCAACGCCGGAGCTCAACACTCAGTTTTTGTTTTTGTTTTTTTCTCTTTTTTGGGGAGGTGGGGAGACGGAGTCTCGCTCTGTTGCCCAGGCTGGAGTGCGTGGTGCAATCTCGGCTCACTACAACCTCCACCTCCCGGGTTCAAGCAATTCTGCCTCAGCCTCCCGAGTAGCTGGGACTACAGGCGTACGCTGCCACGCCCAGCTCATTTTTTGTATTTATTTTTAGTAGGGTCGGGGTTTCACCGCGTTGCCCAGGCTGGTCTCGAACTCCTGAGCTCAGGCAATCCGCCCGCCTTGGCTTCCCAAAATGCTAGGATTACAGGCGTGAGGCATCGCGCCCAGCCTGGTCTATTATTAAGGCAGATCCTTTTTCCTGAAGCTTAATCTCACCTGCGAAACTAAGATAATACCTACCCTGTAGGATTAATGTAAGAATTGGTATGTTGACTAAAGAAAAAATATTAAGCTTTTAAATAATTAAAATTAGTTTTATTTAGAAGCCTTACTGAGGACTATAGACTAAGGCCTGTAGCCCAGGAGTAATCTTGTGAGGCTGCTGTAACAGGGTATTTTAGTTTAGATTATATGTAGTTGAAGATTTAGTATGTGTAAAATCATATCAACGTTTAGGGATAAGTAGATCTGGTTATAGATTGCAGAAGTATAATCATTAACCCTGTCAGACATGATCGTATGTTTAGGAGAAGGCAAAGAACAGGTCATTTATCTTTGAAGGAATGTAGTGACTCAGGCAAGAGATTTGGAGAGCAGGGGTGTTTTGTTTTGTTTTTAAGGCATTTTTTTTCTGGAGAGCTGTATTTTGTTTTTTATTTTGAGACAGAGTCTCACTCTGTCACCCAGGCTGGAGTGCAGTGGCATGATCTCCGCTCACTACCACCTCTGCCTCCCGTGTTCAAGAGATTCTTCTGCTTCAGCCTCCCGAGTCGCTGGGATTACAGGCACGTGCCACCACGCCCAGCTAATTTTTGTATTTTTAGTAGAGACAGGGTTTCACTGTGTTGCCCAGGCTGGTCTTTAACTGCTGGCCTCAAGTGATCTGCCTGCCTCAGCCTCCCAAAGTGCTGGGATTACAGGCTTGAGCAACCGCGCCTGGCTGAGGAGAGCTGTATTTTGTCACAGAGTCAGGGGTTTAAGCAGAAATTAGCACATAAGGCTTTTAATGTTTGTCACACTCTCCTCTCACTGGTAAAATAATGTGACATGTACTGCAAATAGAAAGATGGGTGGAGACCATCCCCTCCTAGCACCCTCACCCCAAACCAAGCAGCACTAGCAGCCCCTGCCCAAACATTCTGTCACTCCAAAAGCTTCCCACGATGGGCATGGCATCACCACACTGGAATTCTTAGGTTCTTTATTAGTTTTTCAGCACAGTTAACTCTTTCTACGTTGACTAGAGTTTTGTTTTACATTTTGTCATCTCATGACAGCAGCCACCAGAATACACAGAATTAGGCTCTTTGTGCGGAGAAGAAAATAATAAACATTAAAAGTTCACCTTGACCAAAGAGACAGCCTCCGGAGGACCACCACACATGGGAGGACCCAATGTACACACACACACACACACACATCTATATATATAATGTATAGATATTTATAGATATTTCATCTGGAAACACAGCAAAAAACAAAAAAAATTCCAAGATTTGCAGTGCTATCTATAGTAAGAGGGATGAATTCTACCAGCTTTCAACCAGTCACATTCAGTATTCAGAAGAAGCACATGAGGGGGTAGAACTCGGCACAAACTAACACATCACCAGGCTAGTCATGGCTTAAGATTACAGAAGGGGGGTGATGTGTATAGAGGAAATACGCATACAGGTGTCCTCTCAGCCTCAGAACACCCGCCACGACCCTCCCCCCTCCACAGCCCTTCATGTTTTCATTGCTCTCTCCCCTCTCTGTTTTGAGGTTTGTGACCATTGATTTAGGGTCTGAGACAAATGGCTCTGGTTTCTGGGCCGCAAGATGCTATAGGGTAAGGTGGGTGGATGGAAAGCATACAACACAGTCCTGGGCTTCAGGGGACAGCAGGGGGCTGGGGTGTGGGGGAAGCCTTTCTCCTCTACCTGGCTCTTGTTCGTGTCCAGAATCATCAGCCCCCAGTAAGCCCCAGCCCAGGGGGCTATGGGGTATGGGACTGTAGAAGTCTCGCTGCCTTGGGCCAGTTGACTGGATAAACTCTCTCTTCCTTAGTGATGCTTCCGGGGCACGCTGGCACAGCCTGGCCAGAGCTCTGCCTGAACCACCACACTGCTACTGATGGCGTTGCCCTCTGGGGAACCTGGGGGCAAAAAAGGGGTCTCCAGGAACTCAGCTACCCCTGCTTCTGGCCACCTGCGGGCTCCCAAAGGCAGTCACCACAATGTTCCCAGGGCACACATGCCATACATGGGCTCTCTCTTCCTTCTCCCTCACCCCCAGTCAGGTCACTGTGGGGACAGATGACCAGGCAACTTCTGCCTCGGGGAGGCCTTGGCTCAGAAATGGGAGAGGGCCAGGAGGTGGCAGAGTGTGGGCTGGAAGGGACAGTCTGTGGGGTTCCTGCCCTCACGGTTCTCCATGTTCTGTCTTCCTTCGGCAGAGAAACCCCCTGACGCCCCTGCCTGCCTGGCCCTACAGCACCAGCTGGGCCCAGAGAGCACCAGGAAAGTGGCTGCCTGGTCCGAGCGCCCCCTTGTGGCTATTGTCCAGATGATTGTCACATGTGCTATGAGACAGAAACGGGTGTGCTTGGTGGAGAGTGGGGGAAGGGGTCTCCCAGGGCTCCCACTCCAGTGCCTGAGCTGACCCTGTACCCCTGTGGGCCCAGTAACCACCCTCTCGAAGCCTCTCCCATCTGCAAACATGCCTGCCCAAGGGCTCACCCAGGAATGGCCTGGATCCTTAGAGAACCTCCCTCCCTATGGCCCTGCCCTCCTGTGCCTGGGCCGCAGGGAGTGAGATGAGAGGGGTCAAGTCAGCCAAGTTACCACAGAGAGTGAGATGGGGTGGGGAGGAGTGAGCCCCTCGAGACACCTGGAGACTGTTCCGCTGAAGGATCTAAGATAGATCCCCTCATTTTTTTCAAGCAGAACCCCATTTCCTCCCCTTTGCCCTCACAAAAATAAACTAAAGGGAACATGAGCCGGCGCAAGGATGGCGGTGGGGCCTCGACGTGGGCGGACAGGTGGGTGTCGTCAGCGGGATCGAGGGCTTCAACAGGACACCTCCATGGTGTGGTTGACCTGGCCCAGCCCCTCGCTGCTCTCCGAGTGGGTGCAGGCCTGTGGGCGGCTGCCATCCACCGAGCTGGCACTGGTGAGGGATGCAGTGCGGGAGCGTGCCAGGCGGGTCATGCTGGCCGAGGGCACTGTGGACAGAGACAGGGTGGGCCTGAGGACTGGCGGGCAGGGCCAGGCGCCTCTGGTGGGAAAAGTAGGCTGCAAGCAAAGCGGCTAGCGAACCGTTCCTCGAAGGCACAAAGGGCCCCTCCCGAGCCAGGAGGCTGGCGACAGCTGTCGGGCCGGGGGCATGCAGGGCCAGCGACAGTGAGTGGGCCTAGGGGGCTGTGGCCAGCAGGGCCCTGTCAAGTAGCTGACCAGGCAGCCCTGAGCAGCTGGTGCAGGGAGGTGCTGGGTTTCCAGCTGTGCCTCCCTCGAGGATGCCGGTGGAGAAGTAGGACTGCTTCTGTAAAGGAGGACACGGAGCGGTGGTCACCCTCAATTCAGACTCTGCCCTTGTTCGGAGTTTCACAAGCAAGACTTGCGGGCAGCAAACTCTACCCTCCTGAACGCTCCTGGCCACCTCTGGCTCAGGCAGGGCCAGACCTGGGCTCTACCTCTAAGGAGGGTCTGTTTCCAATCCCCAGAGCTCTGGAAGCCACGTAGCTCATGACAACCTAGAAGCAAGACTGCTCTGCAGCCCAGCCAACCTAGAGGCCAAGTCTGCAGAAACACAAGAATCTGTGGGGTTTCTGAGTGGAACAGGACACAAGAAGGTTCCAAACCACAGCAAGATGCGGCCTGGCTGCAGCAGGAGCGGGGGAGGGGGAGGCTGGGTGTCCATGCATCAGGGGGAGGGCTGTGGGGCTACCTGCTCCTCCACTCAGCCTTCGGTCCTTCAAGTACGCAACTAAGAGAGAAGACAGAGCCAGAGAGGGGCGGGGTGGGGGAGACACAACACAGTGAACAGCGTGGTCCACTGAGGCCAGGGCATTGAGACGAGCCGGAGAGATGGGACAAAGGACAGGCACAGAGAGGCTGGGGGCAGGGTCAGAGGCTCTGGAAGCCCACCCAGCAGTGGTCCCCAGAAGGATCTCTGGCCCAAGGAAGCCCTGAGAGCCGGTGGGGTGCTTATCCCCTCACCATTCTGCTGGGCCTCAGTCTCCTGCGTACAGAATTGGGGAGGCCTGCCCCCTCTGTGCCTCTCCCAGCTCGGGGCTGCCTGGTGGAGTTTCTTCCCAGGACCCTGAGAACGCATCTCAGCGCCTGACAAGGTTCCTCCATTCACCTCACAAATGCTTGCTGTGCCCCAATCCCAGTCTCTGCGCTCCTGCAGAGCCCCCCTGTGGGCCCCAGGGCTCTGCCCTGCTCCAGAGAGCACTCTATTCCTGGGTGTCCTCCCCAGCCTTCCCACAGGCCACTCCGTTTGCCCTGGAGATACCAGCTCCAGAGGCTAAAGTCTGGAGGGCAATAAAAAACTGAGGAGAGGAAGTTTGCCTCCTGGCAGTGGGGAGCTGGAAACAGGTAAGTCTTAGAGGGAAGCGGAAGTCGAGGAGACACCCAAGGGGTGTGTGTGTCTGTGTGTGTGTACCTGGTTCTACCCCAGACCCAGATTTTCAGATCTGCCAACTCAGGTTCAGCTGCTTTCAGCTCTCTGAATGCCCAGGCGGCCCCAATTGCCTTCCCTGGCCCCAGGCTCCAAGCCCACTCCTATGACGCCCTGGGTGCAGCCACCAGTTGTTTCAAAAGGCCTTCTCAGGTGCCGTAGGCCCAGCTCTGACCCCAAGCCCTGGGGCAGATGAGGGGAATGTGCCTCACCCCCAGACAGGCTTCCCTGGCAGGACGTGGCCCCTGGACCTGGATCCTCAGCACAGAGAGAAGGGTCCCTTCCCCCAGTATGCCCATCACTGCCATCAGAACAGTGCGCCAAGTCCTCCCTAAGGGCAAACGGGAGCTGGGCACAGCCTGGGATGCCCAACTTGCAACTCAGTTGGCATCTGTGGGGCCCAGCATCCGGGGCCCAGGTCACACAAAACTATGCCTGTGGGCTCCCCAGTACCACCTGACACCACGTGCCAGCCCTGCAAACAGGACCCCCCACCCCAGCACTGCCTGCCCGCTGGTCTGTAGGTGTGGTGGGGTGGAAATGTACTCACTGTAGCCCATGCCTTGCAGGAAGTATTTGAAGGCTTCAGTCAGCTTCCCTGGCTGCAGAGGGCAGGACAAGCACATGCTTTCATTGGCTGCCTAGGATTAGCGGGGAGGGCAGAGGCTTCCCCCACCCCATAGATGGAAGGGCAGGAGGGCCAAAAGTCTCACCTGTGTGACCTGGGGCAGCCCTCCGGAGTCTGCCATCTGCAAGGGAGAGAGTGGGGTGACTTGAGCAGGGCCCTCACTCCAGGACAAGCTCCCACCTGGCTGGGACCCCAGGCAAGCCCCTCCCTGAGGTTGGGCCCATGCTAGGGAAGCTGGCCTCGGGCTGGGGAAGAAAGCCTCACCTTCAGGAAGGTCGTGGTGGTCGGGTCCAGTTTGGAGTTGCACTCCACCTGGGGACAAGGAGCCAGCTTCAGCAGCAGCCCCTGCCCCTCCCCACCCCTGTTGCTAAGGCAGGTTTGATGCCCCAAGCTGGGGAGGAAAGGAGGTGCAGGGAGGCGGAGGGAGACCCAGCACCTGTAACAGGCTGCTTCTCCCAGGCTTTCTCCTCCTAGGGCTCCCCACGTTCTTGGAGACCAGTTTAGCAGCCCCCCTGAAGGTCCTGGGACCCTTGGAGCCCACTCACAACTGCTAGGAGTGGGAGTCAGGCAAAGACTGGGCTGCCGTGGTGGGACTGGCCTGGGAAAAAGTCCTGGGGCCCTCAGCAGTGAGGTGACGGGTGCCGAGGGTCTGAGAGAGACTGGGTGGAGGGGGCTGGCACAGCCCACCACCGCACTCTTCCAGGACCTCCCGGTGGGCATAGGAAAGCCTGGTATTTCCAGGGCGCACGGGGCTGCTCGGGCACTTCTGGACCCTGCAGCTTCCCAGCAGCTCTGTACTGATGGGGCCTCACAGCCCCAGGCCACCTGCTTCCAGAGTTCCAGCAGGAGGGGTGACACGTGGTCCCCAAACATAACAGGTGCAGGTGATGGGGAAAGGGAGACTGTGCCGCTGTATGCATTAATGATTTATAATGACTCAATCACATTTCAGAAAAAAGAGAGATCGTAGGCCCTGGGCCTGAGGTGGGTAGGGACCAAGTTGGGGCTGTGCTGCTGGGCAGGGAAGAGGGGACCTTCTGATGGCCCAGCCCTCCCCATTTCCAGGCCTCCCCCGCCAGAAGGAAGGGGGCTATGCCAGATGTGAGGCTTGGCAAGACTGTGGGAAAGTGGACGAGAAGCCCACCATCCACTGCCGGCCCTGGAGGCTCCCCGGGCTGGGTCAAGAATTGCCCCTGCTCGACAGAGGCCATGAGCCCCTCACCCCTACCTCACACCCCCAGTGAGCCCACAGCCCCTCACTCACCACCCCGTCCTCAGCAGGTGCATTATCCCCGACCACCAGCATCACGGGGCAGCTGCAGATACAGAGGAAAAGGGCTGTCTGGCTGGGTCACGGGGGCAAAGGCTGGGGCAGGCCAGAGGGCCAGGAGGCACTCACCGGAGCGTCTTGGCATTCAGCACTGTTCCAGGCCGGTTAATGTCCAGGTCTCTGCGGCTGTGGGGGAGGGGGAGGGGAGGGGCAGAGGTGGGCACCCCAGAACAGGATGAGGGGCATCCCAAGCCCAACACTGCCAACTGGTAAAGCAGGGAGGCATGGACCTGCTCTGCATAAATGAACTGGAGGCCCCCTATGCATGGCTTTTTGGACTCCCCAGCACATACCAGGTGGGGTCTCAAATTTTGCTATCCCCCTCAGAGCCAGGGGTACCGCCACCTGTGCTGTGGGAGTTTCTGCTACTGGTCTGTCTCCTGGACCATATGGGATGGCAGGCCCTGGGTCTCTTTATTCTCTATTGTTTTCCTAGCACCATGCACACAGCAGGTGCTTAGTATTTGTAGAAGAATGAGAAGGAGGGCAGGTGAGTGAGGGGGCCTGGCCACCTCCCTGCAGGGCAGGGCAGCCCCTAAAGGGGGCTCCAAGGAGCATAGCTTGCAAACTACAGGCTCATCCGACCTCGTCCCCATTTTGCAGACGTCAATATCAAGGCTGGGTTACTGCAGTCAGGGATGTCACAACACCCCCAACACTCCCACGCAGGAAGCCCCCAGGGGAGGAGGAAAAGTGGAAGAACCCAAGGCCCGGAGTCTGAAGACCTGTTCCCCTCTGCCCCTCACAGGGTGTGACCTTGTGCAGGAAATGACCTCCTCTGAAGCCCAATATGGTGCCCATCTACAAACCAGGGCAAGGGTGTTGCCTGCCTGCCTCCCTCAGGGGGCAGTGTGCAAGGGCCCCCACTGGGGTATGCTGGGTCCCAGGGCTGCTGACCCCACCCGCACCTGTTGTACATGTTCCAGAAGAGCTGCAGGTTGGCCTGGTTCACCACGTTCCCAATCTGCTGCCGGTAGCTCTGCACCAACTCTGTGTTGTTCACTAGCTCCTCCTAGGCCCAGAGGGATGGATGGGGGCATGCAGAGGAGCAGACAGACAGAGGGACGCAGGCTCAGAGGGGGCCGGCAGATGTCACTGCCAGAGTGGCCCTTGCCCCACTCGGCAGGCAGGGGAGAGAGAGTGTGGGCAAGTAGGAGGTGGGGCCTTGGGAGGGGATGTCTGTCTTTCAGATGCCTCAGCATCATGGAGATGCGATCTGGAGTGAGCCACGTCAGATGCCAAGTACACCCGCCTGCCTCCTGCCAAGCTGGGAGGGGCAAATCCCAGCGTGCCCCAGATCTGCAGAAGCCCCCGCCCCCTTACCTGGCTGAAGAGGTGGGAGAGCACCGTGTCGGGTAAAGTGCTAGTTAGGCCGGAGAGCTGCAGGGAGCAGGGCGCCAGCGTGAGTGCCACCCCTCACCCCACCCTAGGTACACCCACCCCATCCCTGGTCACCACACACACCTTGGTGGCAGCCCAGTCTATCCAGCCTTTGCCGTTGGGGTCGATGTTCACCAGCACCAGCCCCTCCACCAGGTCGGGGAAGATGAGCTGCAGTAAGAGGGGAAACAGGACTGGGCAAGGCCAGGATGGGTGCAGACGGTGGAAATGCTCTGTGAAGTCTTCAAGGTGCGGCTAATCAGCCGCCCGGCTGCAGCTGGGTCCGTGCGCGCATACCCATTTCCAGATGCCCTGCCTGTCCTCCTCTCACCCAACCCTTCACAGTTCTTGGATTTATTTAGAATCTCTATCATTGTTTCCGTCCCTCCACATACACACACACACATGCTCTTTCAACAGAATCAGCTCTTAATATATTTTTGAAGATGGTGCTATTGCAAAATTGAGTATTAAACATCTTAAAATCTTAAGCATGTTGTTTTATTGCTTTTATAGAAAATGAAGCCCTGGCCAGGTGCCATGGCTCATGCCTGTAATCCCAGCACTTTGGGAGGCGAAGGTGGGTTGATCACCTGAGGTCAGGCATTCGAGACGAACCTGGCCAATATGGTGAAACCCCATCTCCACTAAAATACAAAAATTAGCCAGGCGTGGTGGCATGCGCCTGTAGTCCCAGCTACTCAGGAGGCTGAGGCAGAATTACTTGAACCAGGGTGGTGGAGGTTGCAGTGAGCCGAGATTGTGCCACTGCACTCCAGCCTGGGCAACAGAGTGAGACTCCATCTCAAAAAAAAAAAAAAAAAAAATGAAGCCCTCATGATATAAATTAAGAAAAAAATCAATCTTTTCAAAGCCTATTTTGCCTTAGGCATTGCAAAAGAGGTATTTTCTCTTCAACTGTTACACCATGTTTAAAGAAAAATAGCATAGCCACATCAAGCTTGTCTAGGGTGGCAGGGAATGGCCTCCAGTTAACAAAATGATTAAGTGCTGACATTGAAACTGGATTAAAAATTCTTGGTCATTTCTTTTGAAGTAGGAAATGTCTTAGATCCTGAAAAATTAGGTTTTTTTTTTTTTTTTTTTTTTTGCTTGTTTTTAGAGATGAAAAGCTTGTGAATTTCTATCCAATAATGATGTTTTTGAAACGTGCTTCTTTAAACCTCCCAACCACAATAAAATTTTTTGCTGAAAAAATTATTCATGTTGAAATACCATGGCAATTAGTGAAGGACGATCCTTATTTAGTGGCTAGAGCAGCAGTTAGTTGTATAGTTTGTTGCTACTAGAAATTCTGGCTTTGGATAATAGTTTAAGCAAGTTATAGTTTGTAGTCTCTTGAGAAAACCATATGGAGAAAGGAACCTCTTTTTAAAAAAAAGTTAATTTCCCTGGAGGAAAAAAGAAAAAAGAGGTTTTCTACATAAAGAAGAGGTGGGAGGAGGAGAAGTAAGAGCAGAGACAGTTCCTCAAGGCTGAAGGGTTCCCTAGTCCCCACCACAGGAAGATCCCTGGCTTGCCCGGGTGTTTGGGGTAATGGGGGCATGGGGACACTCACTGCAAACTTGGCCAGCACATAGGCTCCGGCACCCACTCCAATGCCAATCACGTACTTGAACCTGGTGCAGAACAGGCTGGTCACTCTAGGGCTAGGGGTGCCATTTCCCATACATGTCACCCAGAGCAGGCCCTGCCCACAGCCTGAAGCCCTCAGCTGAAGCCGGGTGGCTCTGCAGTCGGGGTAGGCACCCCTGGGCCCTAGCACTCACCCGAAATGCTGCACCACGCTAGGAAGCATGGCAGCCAGCTGCTCCATGGAAGGGAACTGGTACCTGCAGGCAGAGCAGGAGGTCAGGGCCCAGGTGTGGCCTGGGGTGCAGAGCTGGAGACAGGCGGAGGGGGCTCTGGGTACCTACCCCTGAGGAAACTGCGACGCCCCCACCTGTTGTCCAGGGGCATCCACATGACACACTACAAAGTGCTTGGTGATCTCCTGCATGTCCTCGAAGTTGAAGAAGGTGTTGAAGCATAGTTTGTCTGCAAAGACACACCTCCACTATGGCTGAGCAGAGGGGCTGGGGGACTGGAAGGGAGGCCAGGCCCCCAGAGGGCTCACAAGGCAGAAGTGTCAGCCTCAGGTCCATCGGGGAAATGGAGGCCCGGAGGGCGAAGGCAACAGAGCTAAGTGCGAGTGGGACTGACAGGGCCCTGTGGGGAGGGCGGTGGCCTCACTGCTGATGGGAGGCAGAGGAGGGCTGACTGAGGCTGGGCTGCACTTACGGTTGAGGCCCACATCGTGGTAGGTGAGGATGGCTGGGCGGTTCCCCTTGGGGGAGCCCCGGATCACCACGTGCAGAAGGCCGTAGGGCGTCTCGATGTCATGTTCCTGGAGGGGAGAGACCGCGCTGGACACCGGGCAGCCCCGCTCCTGGCTCCTCTGGGGAATGAGGTGGTGCAGCCTGGTGCCTGTCAGGCATGTGGTAGAACCCCTACTTGGGGCATCCTGTTCTCATCACCCCAAGAAGCCCCCAGAGAGGACTGAATGGATGGAACACCCCTTCTCAGGGCTGTTCAGCACAGAGACGACATGAACTGGTCTGCGTGGGGAAGTTCTGGTCCTCTCTGCAACCAACCAGCAGTTTGTGCCGCCACTGTCCTCAGCCCTTGAGGGTCCAAGGAGGCTGTTTTTCTCCATCTTGCAGCAGCCCCTCCTGGACAGCTCTGCCTCCCCAGCCCAAGCCCCTCTCACACTCAGAGATCTCAGGCGCTTCCTGCTGCTGCAGGGGAACGGCCTCAGTGGTCCTGCCTGGAATCCTCAGTAAACACCCCATGCCAGCCAAGCCTAGCCCCGACCCCCACACTGCCCCTGGCTCCCACTCGAAGGCTCTTGCGCATGCGGTTGCTTCCACCTTGAACGCCCTTCTCTGTGAGCCCAGCATCCCCAAGGGCTCCCTTCAGGCAGGCCCAGTCAGACCCCCGTCCCCATCTCCTCTAGAGGCCTTCTGCAGAGCCTGCTCTGGGATCCTCTTGAGTAGAGCCTGCTCTAGATCCTCTTTGAGGTCCCCAAGGGAGCTCCCCTTCAGGCAGTGCCCAGCCAGACTTCATCCCCATCTCCCCAGACTCCTCTAGAGGCCTTCTGCAGAGCCTGCTCTGGGATCCTCTTGAGTTCACACCTTTGGTTTTGCTGCTCAAGGTCATTACTTCCTCAGGAAGACCTGGCTCGACCCCTTACTTGAGCATGTCACGTTACTTCTCTGCTGTGCCTCAGCCTCTCCATCCAGAACCACCTCACAGGCACTTTGCAAGAACTAGACAAGCCAACGTCTGTGGAGCATTTAGCACTTGGAGAAAGCCCCGGAAAGGGGGCTATTATGCTAGGGCATCCCTGGGCCTTGGGGAGATGCCCTCCTCATTGGTCCCTTTGCAAACTGGGCATTCTTAGACACTTGGATGGGCAACCTTCAAGAGGGGCCGTCTGAGCTGAATAAACAGATCCTCTCTGCATCATCGTGAGCCCTGGGAACCATGTGAGTGGCTCAGTGAGTTGGAGATAAGGCTGGGGACAAGGACATGAAAGAAACATCAAGTGACTGAGCACCTACTGTGTGCCAGGCTTCCTGCACGTTACCCAAGAGACAGGAACCCTAGTCCCTGTTTTGCAGATGAGGATACTTTGGTTTAGAAAGAACCTGAGTTGCTGCCTCCGAATGGGAAAGGAGATTTAGACAGCGGGAGACAGCTGCTTAGGGGCCGGCATTAGTGGGTCTGGTCTCAGAGGACAACTGTCCAGGCCTATGTCTCCAGTATGGAGTGACAAGCTGGCACCAACCTGGTGGCCAAAGGCTCTACCCTGGGGGCCACGTTTTGGCTTGCAGGTCCTGTTTATTTCCCTGTTGTCCTCCAGGAGGGCCCTGGTAATGAGCCTTAGGGTGAGCCATGTGGCTCAGGGGATGAGGAGGCCACACCAGGGCTGAGAGGGGACAGGCCACACAGTCCCTCCCATCCCAGGCCTGTCCTTTCTCCGGGCCATCAAATCCAGGAACACTTCCCAGTCACTGACCACTGACCCACACTTTTCTCATTTACTTCCCACATACATCCAAGCCATAGAGAAGGAAATTGAGGCTGGGAAAGAGGAACGACTTGCCCAAGGTCAATCCCAGAGTAGGGAGGGTGGCCCTGCCAGGTGCCAGTCTCAGGGGCCAGGGTGGTGCACTGAAGGCTGCATGTTCACAGGAGATCAGGTTCCACTCGAGGCAGCTCCTGACCAGGCAGCCCCTTCACAGCAACCTGTGAGTTCTCTCAGCTCTGGAGGGTGGGACTGCAGAACAGCTGCAATGCGCCTCCGGCTGCATAAAGGACAGTTATCCTCCCGGGTTCAGACGTCAAGAGCCCAGGGCGGTGTCTTCCAAACCCAGATCCGCAGCCTGCGGGTCAACGTGAGGGCTGCGAGGGGTGTCTGCCCTCCGCTGCTGAGCAGGTCCCGACTGTCTCCTCCCACCCCTGGTGTGGCCGCCCCGTCCCCATCCCTCTGAGGTGACATGGTCAGACCCTACTAGGGCTCATTTCCAGGATGGGAAGGGCTGGGGCTGGGCCTGGGCGTCGCCGGGCTGCCTGTCCTACAAAGCCCAGTGACCTTCGCTGAACCCTGCTGCCCACCTCCCTAACGCCTTCTCTGACCCTCTGCGGGGAGCCCAGGACTCAGTTCAGCCCAATCGAAGCCAAGCATCCCCGTCCCTTGGAGCACTGCGCAAGGGCAGCGCCCCGAGGGCCACAGTGCGGTGCACTCTGAGGCCCCCAACCCTCAGGGCCCAGCACTCCCATTGGCTCTGGGTGACGTCAGAGCCGGCCCCGCCTCCAGGTGGGCGCAGGCGGGAAGCACTGCGGCAGCAGGGAAGGGGGCTGTGGCGGCTCCTCTCGGCCTGTTCGTCTCCCCTCGCCTGTGACCTTGAACACTGCAGGGGACGGGGGGTGCTTTGAGCTGGGCTTTGCGCCGGTGTGGGAGTTGGTGGTGGTGCTGCTGTGGTTCGGCCTGTCAGCCGCATCAATAATTCAGGGGACAGGGTCTGCATGGGCAGGCAGGTGCTGACGTCGTCGCCTCGGGGCGTGCGGGGTGACCTATGGTCTGCGGAACCGGCAGGGCAGGCGTGTGGGGCCCGGGGGTGGGGGTGAGTCTGCCCCTGCCTCTCCCTCCTGAGGAAGAAAGGAGCCGGGGTACCTGATGCCCCGGCGAGAGGAGGTGCCCTGGGTTCCACCTGGGGTCCCCTAGCCCTGCCAGCTTCACGGCTCCAGCGTTGCCTTCCCCCACCTACAAAATAAGGCACGCAGGCAACCCCTCCTCGTTCCTCCCCAGCAGGGACCCCTGCCTGAGGCTATCATTCCTGTGTGGCCCAGACCTCCTTGCCTCTGCCCGGCTGGCACAGCAGAGCCCTGGGAACTGTGAGGCAACTCCTAAGGAAAAGGCTGCCCGTCCTTCCTATCACACTGGCACACCCATCCAAACAAGCTAGATGGCCGCCCACTCGGACGGCAGCCCCTGCACGCACAGACCCTGCACGCACACTGGGTACACAGCCTCGGGGGCTGACCAAGGACCCCCCCGCCCCCTGGCCTGATGGCCCCAGGCACCACCAAGGCAGACACCATCCAAGCGCACACCAGAGGGCACACGGTCAGTGGGACGTGCAGGCACTGGCGCCCGGGTCCACACGGCAATGCAGCTAAATCAGACTGTGCCTTCTGTGTTCCATTTCCTGCAGATATGTCACCCACCCCCCACCCACCCACTCCCCCTAGCCCCTGCTATGGGCTCTGACTAGCAGCTGCCCCCAGCCACTCCTGCAAACAGGATCACCAGGGAGCCTGGAGCCCTCTGGCTGTGTCTCAGGGACCCCAGGGTGAGGCTATTGAAGGCAGGGCTGCCACCAGATGTGGGCTGAGGGGGGCACTTCCTCCCTACAGTGGGTCATAAGGATGCACCATCCTCCCGGCCCACCTCGCTGCCCGTAGCGCTCTCACTCACCCCATCCCAGCACTCCGGCATCTTGCCGAGGGAGGGAACCCGCCTCTACCAGGAAGGACAAACAAAGGCCTGAGTCACTCGGGTCCAGAGGGCGGGGACAGCTTGAGTGGGAGATGGTCGGCTCTGTGATGGGGCACAGCTCCTGGGCCATTTATACAGGGATCCTGGCCCAGCCTAGCTGGCCCCTCCTCCCCGAAGGGTTTCCGAGCAGCCACTCGCTTGCCCGGAGCCCCGGCTCCCAGATTGGCTGCTGGGAGACAAGCCTGGCTCCAATTGGCTTCTGAAGTCCTCCTTGCCCCAGCCCTGTCACTGCTCCTCCCACCCCAGCCACATATCATCCTTGATGGTCCCCAGCCCCTGCATCCGTCCCCAGCACACAAGCACATGCCAACAGCTGCAGCTCATATAGGATCCTCCAAATACAGGAGCCGAGGTCACACGTACAGACTCACCCATGTCAGGTACACACAGGGTCCTCACGGACATGCACAGCTCACCAACGCGGGGCAGGGCAGGGTGCATGGGCACTGCCCAGACAGCTACAGCCCTTGACCCACACCTTGGGGAGTATAGAGGGCCCGAGAGGGCCCCAAGCCCAGGATCTTGGGGACCAGATCCCCAGGCCCAGCCTCCCCATCAGGAAGGTTGCATTGCTTAACCTTGAGGAGGCCTAGGGAGCTGCTGCTTTCTGGGGCAACTTGGGTTATCACCCTGCTTCAGAGAGCTGCTCCTCCACCCACCAGGGTTTTCTCCCACCTTGCCCACGCAGATGCAGGGGGCTTCCCCACACACTGAAAGTGGAGTTTGGGGGCCAGGGGCCCTGGGCAGATAGCAGGGCCAAGGGTATGGTCAGGCACACACCAGCTCTGTCCTCCCCACCCTCACCCTGCTGACAGGGGCTCCAGGCCACCAGGGAGATGAAGCGGGCCTAGGAGGCAGCTTCTTGACATTGACATGCCCACCTCCTGTAGACCCACCAGGCCCTCGTTCCCAGAGGCAACCAGTTTGGGGCTTGGCTCTCGGGTCTCTGGGGAGCAGAACACTAGGGCTATCTCAGGTTCCGTGCCCTATCCTCCTGGGAAGCAAGGATCTGGGTGGGGAGCTCACCCGAGGTCTGCAGGTGGAGTGAGCAGAGGAGAATAAAGGCCAAGAAGTGCATGGGAGGAGAGGAAATAGGCCAGGGAGAGGAGCAGAGGAGGGGGCCCAAGGCTGGGAGAGCAGGAGCCACAGAGAGAAGGGAGATGCTGCGTGCCTGTGCTCCCAAATATACTCCATGAGGATTATATGTATTATCGTTGCAACTCCCTGTGCAGTAGGCACTGCTGTTTCTTCCATTTACATATGGAGGTTCAGAGAGGTTGACTGACTTCCCCAAGGTCACACAGCAAAGAAGTGGCAGAGCTATGAGTGGCATCAGGGTTTGGCTGGCAAGACCTGACCCTGCCTTGTCTGGCCACTATAACTGCACAACCGCCAGAAAAGGGCCAACGGTTTGGAGAGGCACACAGACTGCCCCATTTCTCTCCTGCCAGGGCCTGGGCAGGGGTGGGATTAGGGCACAGAGCCTAAGATGGCCCTAGTGTCCTGCTCCCCAGAGACCCGAGAGTCAAGCCCCAAACTGGTTGCCTCCAGGAACGAGGGCCAGGTGGGTCTACAGGAGGTGGGCGTATCAACGTCAGTAGCTGCCTCCTATCCGGCTTCCTCTCCCTGTCTTGCTGAAGAAGGAACACACCACTCACCCCAGCCCATGCTGACAGCCCTGCATGCTAGCCGACTGCCCTCAGAGAAGGTGGTCATCTCCTCATCTCTGGGTACCTGGTGACCCGGTCGATACCTGTTATGTACACTATTGCTGGCCATGTCCTCTGCCTGGGGGCACCTAGTCCATCTCTCACCCCTCACTCTGGAGACCTAGGGCAGACTGATAGGCCCTGTGTTCCCCAGGGCAGCAGGGAAGTACAATGGGGAGTCCCCCTGGCCCATCACCTCCTGGCTATGCTCCCCATTCCTGCAGCCACTGTGGCACAGGAAGAGGCTTGCAAAACAGGCACAGCCCTGCCCTCTGCTCTGCCCACAAAGCCCTCCCATGTCCCCCAAAGCCCCACCCAATCCTATGCCCACTCCAACCTCCGATCCCTGAGTGGCCTCTCCCCACCTTTGGACCCAGGTGACAAGCTGAACTGTGACACTGCCCACTCCAAGCCACAGCCTCCATGACTGCTCAGCTCACTGCCTGCAAACCCACAGACCTGGATTTAAGTCCCTCCTGGCCCCCTATTAGCTGGGTGACCTTGGGCAAGACTTTTTTTTTAACCTCTCTGTGCCTCAGGCTTCTAACTGTAAAGCAGGGACTGTGTGCCTTTCTCACCAGCCTGCTGTGAGAATCAGAAAAAACTGCACAAATCACTCCAGATCTGACCCCACCCCTGCCCAGGCCCTGGTAAGGGAGAAATGGGGCAGTTTGTGTGCCTCTCCAAATTGTTGGCCCTTTTTTCTGGCGGTTGTGCAGTTATAGTGGCCAGACAAGGTAGCCTCAGGTCTTGCCAGCCAAACCCTGATGCCACTCATAGCTCTGCCACTTTTTTGCTGTGTGACCTTGGGGAAGTCAGTCAACCTCTCTGAGTCTCCATATGTAAATGGGAGAAACAGCAGTGCCTACTGCACAGGCAGTTGCAAGGATGATTCATATAATCCTCATGGACCTAGAGAAAGGATGAGGAAACAGAGATGGAGACGTTAGGTAATTTTGTCACTTGGCTAGTAAGCAGCGGCAGCTACTAGTACCTCAGCACTCTGGGTGGGCCTGAGGTCTCAGAATCAAGAGTGGTAAACACTATGTTCAAATGTCCTATAGGTGACAGGCTTTCTTTGAGCACTTTACCCATCTTTATCCCTTTTTTTTTTTTTTTTTTTTTGAGACACGGTCTTGCTCTGTTGCCCAGGCTGGAGTGCAATGGTGCAATCTCTGCTCACTGCAACCTCCGCCTCCCGGGTTCAAACCATTCTCCTGCTTCAGCCTCCCAAGTAGCTGGGACTACCAGGGCCTGCCACCACACCTGGCTAATTATTGTATTTTTAGTAGAGACGGGGTTTCATCATATTGGCCAGGCTGGCCTCAAACTCCTGACCTCAAGTGATCTACCTGCCTCAGCTCCCAAAGTGCTGAGATTACGGGTATGAGTCACCGCACCCAGCCTGTATCCTCTTTTTGGAAAATATATTTTATTTTAAGTATGGAAGGCTTCACAAATATGTGGGTCATTCTTGTACAGGGGTCATGCTCGTCTTCTCTGTATCACTCCAATTCTGGTATATGTGCTGCTGGGGCAAGCACTCATTTTATCTCCTAATACCCTCTTTACAAATGAGGCAGATAAGGACAGAGAGGTTTGGGAATCTGCCTAACGTCACACAGCTAGTGGGCACAGAGCCAGGAACCACACCCAGGCAGTTTGGTGCTAACTCTACACTCTAGTGGTCATTCGTCACGGTCAGCTGAGTGTCCATATGAGGGGCCCGTGGACACCACCGCCTTAGAAACACTCGGGAAGTCCGTGCCGTCTGTCTCCGTGAAAATGCGGTGGATGAGTGAAGTGACTTGGGCAGGAGGTCACATGCTTGGAAGTGGCGGGGCCAGAACCTAGGTCTGTCTGGCTCATGTTAGTCCCTCTGCTATACTACCTCCCCCACTGGCTGCCCCCACAGAGGCAGGGGACAGTGACAACGCCTGCCATGGTGAGCAGGAGATAAAATCCCTGCCAGGCTTTGGCCCAGATAACAACCATCCATTCTTGTGGCTGCTTTTCTGAAACAAAAAATGAAAACAATGCCGCCTCCATGTGGTGTGACAGGAGGGGACAGGAAGGTGCCTTTTAACGCAACCTGTCTTTTACCAAGCAAAAGTCCTGAGAACCGGGGTCCCACATACCCCGGGCCCCGCAACTCCAGGGCTGCAGCTCAGAGGGCTCGGTGGGCAGAGTCAGCTTCACAGCAGCAGTTGGGCACCCAGAGGTGTGGCGGCGTCTCCTCCACAACTCCAGGAATGCCCTCTGCCTGTCCCCCACACTGTAGGCCTGTGTGCTGGGGCTGGCATCAGCACTGTTGCTGTCAGCCTCCCACGCTGTGGGATCAGTGTGTTGAGGCACTGGCTGGGTGCTCTAGGATTTTACTTGGCCAACTCCTTCCTCCAGGGCCCATTTGCCTGCACAGCCCATCCTCATGTGCAGCATGGAGGACAAAGAAAATCCCCTGGTGAGCCTGCCCTGATCTCCAGTTGTCCCTTGCCACCAGCCTGGGCCGGCTCCCGACCACTTCCCTCCCATCCCTCCTCCTGGGCTCCCGTTCACTCCCCACTGCTGGAACCCCAGCCTCTCCTTCCAGCTCCAGAGCCCTTTGTGCTTGGAGATGGCATTCCCAGGGGATCTGAGCACATGTACACTGGCTGCCCTGAAGTCTCCCCTCTCGTCCTTGAAGTGGCACGTGACCGAGGGACCAGCACACAGGCCCAGATTCTCACACTGATCCTCACGTTGCTCCCACTGGGGGAGGAGCCAACAGGCAGCCCCGCCTCCGTGTCACCCCTGCGTCCAGACCATGTGGCTGGTGCTGTCACGAGGCTTGGAGGCTGACCCAAACCAGGTCAGGCCCAGACAAGGACAGTGACCCGGGGGCTGGCTCCACCTTACAGGAGGAAGGGTCTGAATTGGTTTGGCATGTTGGGATTGCCGGTGGGGTCCCAGAACCCAACAGGCTCCCTTGTGGAATTGGTTCAGCATGTTGGGGTGGCCAGCGGGGCCCCAGAACCCAGCAGGGTTCCCTTGTGTCTGCTGTCAGGCATTTTCCCAAACTCGGAAATCAACGGTCACTGTGGGACTCAGAGGAGAGACATGACTGGCCGAGTGAGCAACATCATCACCCGGAGGAATAAAAACAAAGGGCGTTTTCAGTTTTCACAGAGAACCTGGCATCAACTAAAGAGGACAGGGTTGTCCTGGCAACAGCTGTCATGGAAACAGGAGCTATTTTAGAGTCAACCTGCCTTTCATTGGAAGAAAATGCTGATTCAGATGACAACATCCCTCACTCTCTTTTCCATCCTCAGTCCCCCTGGAGACCCCGTCTCTTCCCTGCTATTCACAGAAGCAGGGCCAGTTCATCCCCCACCCCAGCATCTCTCTGTTAGGCAGGGGGCAGGCAGGGCCGCTATGAGCTCTGGGGGTGGTCCTGGCAACTGCTACAGGCTGGGGGCACACAGAAGGGCTGTGACCCTCCTTTGGGACCTGGCCAAGTGAGGCAAGGGGCTGGCCAGCTGTCAGTCCCACATCTCGGGGGTCTGAGCCTTGACCTACCTTCCAGTCTGTGTCTGCAGCCAAGAGGAAGGCATCAGAGCTCTCCTAGGGGAAGGCAAACAGAGGGGGTGGCAAGTTAGGCCCTAGCTGGTCTGGGGAGACCATGGGGCCTTAGCAGACTCAATTTCTGTCCCAGTCTGTATTTTCTTTCTTTCTTTTTTTTTTTAGAGACAGGGTCTCATTCTATCACCCAGGCTGGAGTGTAGTGGCACAATCACAGCTCACTGCATCCTCAAACTCCTAGGTTCAAATGATCCTCCTGCCTTGGCCTCCTGAAGCGCTGGGATTACAGACATGAAACATCGTGCCCAGCCCACTAGTCTGTCTCAGTGTTAACAAAACTGACCAACGGCTCACCAAGGTGCCAGGTATTGGCCACCAAGTACTTGGTGGAGGAGCCTGTGAGCGTCCTCATTAAGGATATGAGTATTCCATCTTATAGGCCACGAGGGTGAGGCTTAGAGAGGCTGAGTCACAGGCTAGAAAGTGCTGGAATCTCCCACTGCAAATCCTTGCTGTTGGTCACTCTGCCCTCCTGCTACCGTAGATGTTTTTCTGACCATCAGGGCACAAGGGTGGAAGAAAGGGAGGGAAGGGGAGAGGTGGGCGTGACTAACATGCCCATGTGTAGGGATGGGGAAGCTGAGGCCCACACAGTGAGGGGACTTTTCCAATCCACACAAAGGTACAGTGGCAGCTGCTCCCACCTCTCCAGACCTGGTCGCTTTGCGCCTCAGATCACTGGAGCTTACTTCACAGTGAACCGTTTGAGTCTGGCTAGTACCTGTTCTGCCCACTGGACCGCTGGTGTCACGAGGGTGGGACCACGTCTGGCTGTGCTCTCAGTATGAAGCTGGCATGGAAGGGGCTCATCAGACACAAACAGATCTGGATGAACAATCAGGCTTCACCAATGAGGGGAGAGAGGCTCAAAATGCGCCCACAGGTTACGAGGCTGCACAGATGGCCAGGGGAGGAGTGGGGGCTGGAACCCCACGTCTGAGTTGCCAGGCTGTCCCTGAAGCCAAGGGGAGGGTGGCTGTGCGACTCACCCGCTCTGGGTCCGTCTCCCTATCTGTATGACAAGGCAGCTGGCCAGCTCAAACTTGGGCCACTTTCGGGCCTGGGGAGGGAAACTAATCAGGGACCGGCACACGTCCGGGTAAAGGAAAACTCACAGGTCCTGCCTTGCCTTCCCCTGCGTCTGCCTAGAAACCTCTGTGCCCTGCTCTGCGAGGCTGTGAACTCACGGGCAGGTCACTCCGCCTCCAAGCCTCAGTGTTGTGAGGATTACAGGAGAAGCTTGGTGTTGCCCATCATTCTGCCCTTTGTATCCCAGCGCTGGACTGTGCCTGCTACAGATTCTTTTAAGGAATAAATACATGGATTGACCAGGCATGGTGGCACATGCCTATAATCCCAGCACTTTAGGAAGCTGAGGCAGGCAGATCACCTGAGGTCAGGAGTTCGAGATCAGCCTGGCCAACATGTCAAAACCCTGTCTCTACTAAAAATACAAAAATTAGCCGGGTGTGGTGGTACGTGCCTGTAATCCCAGCTGCTAGGGAGGCTGAGGCAGGAGAATCACTTGAACCTGGGAGGCAGAGGTTGCAGTGAGCTGAGATTGTGCCACTGCACTCCAGCCTGGGTGATAGAGTGAGACTCTGAATCAAAAACAAACAAACAAAAAAACCATGGATGACCGAGATAGTCACATGAGAAATAGGGTGCCACAGGAGGAAGAGGGAAGCAGTCAGCTAGGAAAGTACAAGGAGGAAAATGACCCCAAATCACAGGAGTGGGAGGGAGAAGAATGAAACCAGTATTTCTGCCATTTTTCCCCAAACAAGGAAGAGTTCAGCCACCTGCTTTCCAGCAGGCCAGGTGGTGGAGAAAATCAGAAGGAACTGGGGGTTCCCATACCCAAAGAGGAAAGCCAGGCTTTGGGCTGCCTGTGACTGTCACATAGAGAATGGCCGCACCCACTCAGGCTTCTGCAGATTCCTTCCAGGCCCGTGGGGACTCTGCAGGGAGGAGGGGAGGAGAGGAGGGAAGGGATGGGGCTGGAGGGGGAGGACAAGGGCCTGGGGCTGATGATGAATGGATCCTCTCACTCAAAGACCTTGCACAAGGGGGCTGAAGAGAAGACAGGGGAGATGTCTATACTCGGGACCTTAAGAGGGCGATTATCTCAGAGAAGGACAGAGGAGGCAGTTTTGTTACAAGCAAAAGCTAACAAAAAAGAAGGCCAGGTGTGGTCACTCATATCTGTAATCCCAGCACTCTGGGAGGCCTAGGCAGGAGGATCACTTGAGCCCAGGAGGTCCAGGCTGCAGTGAGCTAGGATTGTGGCACTATACTCCAGACTGGGTGACAGGGTGAGACCCTGACTGTCTGTCTGTCTGTCTGTCTGTCTCTCTCTCTCTCTCTCACACACACACACGGTTGAGCAGATAACGGCAGGGTGTGCTGTATGCTCTCTGGGTCTGGGGGCCCCAGGAGATGAAGGGTGTGGGAAGGGAAGGATCCAAAGGCCAAGAAAATGCAGGGTGTGCTGAGGGAGGTGGAGGAGTGGTGTGTGGGAGGCGGGATGGGGACACAGGCGCAGAGGGATCCACAGACAGGCCAGGCACTGGAGTCTCCAAAGGCAAAAGCCAGGCTCCAGTGGCGGGCAGGCAGGCTGTGAGTAAATGTGTGGGAATCCTCACCTCCCACTGGACTGAGAGAATTTATACCTGGCAAATGGCAGAACGTTTAAAAAGTGAACAGGGTGCCAGATGAAGTGGCTCATGATTGTAATCCCAGCTGCTTGGGAGGCTGAGGTGGGCCAGGAGTTCGAGACCAGCCTGGGCAACATAGCAAGATCACTTGTCTCTACAAAGTAGAAAAATGAGCCAGGCATGGTGGTGCATGCCTGTAGTTCCAGCTACTCAGGAGGCTGAAGTAGGAGGATCGCTTAAGCCCTCTCTAGCGTCCTTGAAGAAGGAGGAGGCTGTTATGGTGACACCACTGCACTCTAGCCTGGGTGCCAGAGCCAGACTTATCTCCACACAAAAATAAAAAATAAATAGAAAGTGAAAAGGATGGGGCTGGGCACAGTGGATCACGCCTGTAATCCCAGCACTTTGGGAGGCCGAGGTGAGTGAATCACCTGAGGTTGGGAGTTTGAGGCCAGCCTGATCAACATGGAGAAACTCCATCTCTACTAAAACTACAAAATTAGCTGGGGTGGTGGCACACGCCTGTAATCCCAGCTACTCAGGAGGCTGAGGCAGGAGAATCGCTTGAATCCGGGAGGTGGAGGTTGCGGTGAGCCAAGATCGCGCCATGGCACTCCAGCCTAGGCAACAAGAGCAAAACTCCATCTCAAAAAAAAAAAAAAAAAAAAAAAAAAAAAGCGAAAAGGCTGGATGCTTTCAGCACTACAGCTGAAAAAGGAGAATCTGTCTGTGAGAGCCACAGCCTGAGAGCGCCAGACTAGCTCTTGAAGACAGAGAGAGGGGGTAGGACTGCACGGCGTGCCATGCCACAGCATCCAGGAGGCCGTGTCGGGTGTGGTGGGGCTTTGTTTTAGACAGAGTCTTATCTGTCGCCCAGATTGGAGTGCAGTGGCGATATCTGGGCTCACTGCAACCTCCGCCTCCCGGGTTCAAGTGATTGTCCTGCCTCAGCCTCCTGAGTAGCTGGGATTATAGGAGCTCATCACCACATCTGGCTAATTTTGTATTTTTAGTAGAGACAGGGTTTCACCATGTTGGTCAGGCTGGTCTCGAACTCCTGACACCCACCTCAGCCTCCCAAAGTGCTGGGATTATAGGTATGAGCCACCATGCCCGGTCGGCTTTTGTTTTGTTTTGTTTTTAAGACACAGTCTCGCTCTGTCGCCCAGGCTAGAGTGTAGTGGTGCAATCTCGGCTCACTGCAACCTCCACCTCCCAGGGTCAAGTGATTCTCCTGCCTCAGCCTCCTGAATAGCAGGGATTACAGCACTACGCCCAGCTAATTTTTGTAATTTTAGTAGAGATGGGGTTTCATCATGTTGGCCAGGCTGGTCTTGAACTCCGGATCTCAGGTGACCCACCCACCTTGGGCTCCCAAAGTGCTGGGATTACAGGCATGAGCCAACATGTCTGGCAGGAATGGGGCTTTTAAGGTGCCTTTGGAAAAAGCAGATGTGCCCAGGCCCACAGCTTGGGGCCTGTGCTGACTCATGAAGGAGGGAAGAAGCCTCCACAGGATCTGAAACGGAGACCCTCATGCAGGGGTGAGGATGTCATGGTGGCAAACTCTGGTCCTGGTGATGGGTGGATAGAGAGACACTACCTGCAGTGGTGCCAGGCTGCTCAGTGGGCATGAACAGGCAGGAGTATGCCTGCTGAGTCAGGGAGGGAGGGGCGGTGAGGGCTGGGCCAGAATAAGGCAGAGAAGGGTGCCCAGCTGAGGTGGGCAGTGGAAGAGACAGGCATGGAAGTTATCAGGCCAAGATGCCCTCAGCTCTCCCCATTGTGCTAGGGGGCCCCGCTGGGCCACAGAGGCACACCCCATACCGGCAGGCAGCACCTCCGTGCAGCTGTCCCGCAACCTGCACACTTCAGCACTTGTGATGGGATGCAGGGGTCCCCGAGGGCCCCTCACAGGAGAACTCTGCTTTCATGCCTCAAAAGACAGGCTGGTAGGTAGGCACAGAGGCTCAGGCCTGTCATCCTAGCACGTAGGAAGGCTGAGGTGGGAGGATCACTTGCACCCAGAAGTTCAAGACCAGTCTGGGCAACAGAGCAAGACTCATCTCTACAAAATGGAAAAATTAGCCAGGTGTGGTGGCACATGCCTATGATCCTGGCTACTCGGGAGGCTGAGGCAGGAGGATCACTTGAGCCCAGAAAGCTGAGGCTGCAGTGGGCTATGATGGCACCACTGCACGCCAGCCTGGGTGACAGAGTGAGACCCTGTTTCAGAAGAAAAAAAAAAAAAAAAGAAAGAAAGAAAGGAAAAGAAAAGTCAGAAAGAAAGACACAGGCAGGAGTGGCGAGGAGGGACTTTTTAGAAAGTTCTGAGAACCTTCTTCCTTCTGAGCTGTATTACCATCTGTGGCTTCCACCCAGCCCATGTTTTTACTGAGAACCCACTGTGTGCTGTGTGGGGCACTGGGGAGACCTGGGGGTGCAAAACAGAATAGATCTCTGTCCTGGGAACCTGTGGGGTGGGGCACACACAAACCAGGCTGAGTGACACGGCCAGGGCCAGAGCGTGTTGGGGTTTCAATATTAGACCCAGGGGTTAGAGAGGGACTCTCTGAGGAGGGAGCATTTGAGCAGAGGCCTGAATAAAACAAGAAGTGGAGCCAGCCCTGCAAATTTCTGGGCTAGTGTATCCCAGGCAGATACACCGGGAATGTGATGGGCATGTTCAAGGAGGCTAGAGAGAAGCTGGGGACAGGCTTGGGAGACAGGCTGGGGAGCTGGTGCAGATTGCATCCTGGGTTCCAGCTCTGACTGAGATGGCTTGTTAAGCAGAGAAGTGACATGGCTTGTTTTTTATTTATTTATGTTCTGAGACAGAGTCTTACTCTGTTGCCCAGGCTGGAGTGCAGCAGTGCAGTCTTGGGGTTGAACCTCCTGGGTTCAAGTGATTCAGCCTCCTGAGTAGCTGGGACTACAGGTGTCCACCACCACGCCCGGCTAATTTTTGTATTTTTAGTAGAGACAGGGTTTCACCATGTTGGCCAGGCTGGTCTCAAACTCCTGACCTCATGTGATCTGCCCACCTTGGCCTCCCAAAGTGCTGGGATTATAGGTGTGAGCCACCATGCCCAGCTCATGGCTTATTTTTAAAGGGTAAAGAGCAAAGACAGAGGCAAAAAGACTAGCAAGGAGGATCCTGCAAGCATCCTGGGGCAACAGCCGATGGAGGCTTAGACCAGGGAGCAAGTAAAGTTAGAATAAAGGACTTGAAAAATGTGCAGTCACCACCCCACCAGGGCAGCTTATCTGTGGCTGCTCTCGGATAAGCCACGTCTTGTCAGTTAACTCGAGGTTCTGTCTGTAAGGTAACACTGTACTCTTCTTGGGGGCAGGGCTGCCACCTCATGTGGTTGGATCCCTGGATCCTGGCTGCTCAGCAGCTCCTGGGCTCCTCTCCTTGTGATGGAAGGCTGGGGAGGCAGGGCAGGGCAGAGGACAGCACCCTGTAGATTTGAGGGGCTGGGCTCCTGGCCTCCCCATCTGTAAAAGGAGGGGGTCCAGGCAGCATAACTTGCAGGAACTCCAGCCCTGATGCCTCAGAATCCAACAAGCAGGGAACCCACACTTTTTGCAAAGTGGTTTGTGTCACAGTCACCAGTATGATGGCACTGGGAGGGAGGGAAAGGGAAGGTGGACAGGGTGTTGTCGCAACAAAAAAGGGTGGCATGAAAGTCACTCTGGCCTCTAACGCCTTGTCCCATGACAGGGGGGTCTTGGGGACAAAATCATAACCTGTGGTGCCTCTGTCCCACTGCCCTGGGCGGCACTGTTAGACCTGCCCAGGCGCCACAGAGGCTTGGGAGGCTGATAAGGAAGAGCGCACAGATGGGGGAGCAGCGTGCCCTGCTGGAGCCAGCACTGCCCGGTAGTTACCTCTTGGGGCTCCTGGGCTGTCCACAAACGGGTTGATACGGCCTCATTCCCCCACTAGCTGTGTGACCTTGGCCAACTGGGTTCACCTCTCTGTGCATCCGTTTTCTTGCCATTAAAGCGGGAATAACTCTCCTGTAGCACCTTTAGCCTCAAAGACGGCTGAAGCCACCTTGAGGCTGGGTGGGTCTGGGTGGCACTCAGGCCTCCCGGAACTCCTCGCCGAGGCAAGGACAGGGCTTCTTGGGGTGGCCGGCCCTGGGGAGGGTCAGCTGCAGGGAAGGCGCGCGGTCTCCCTCTTGGCCACGAGGTGGCGCACTCGGCCCTAATACCTCAAAGGCGCGACTCCAACTCACCAGCTCGGTGGCGTCCTGGCCCCGGAGCAGCGGCTTCTCCTCAGGGAATCGCAGCTCCTGCAGCCCGGCCATGGTCACGTCGTGGAGCAGGAGGCCTAGGGAGGGAGGGCAGGGTTGAGGTCTGCTGCAGCGGGGACGCCCGGGCGGAGAAGGACAGCGCAAGCCAGGGCTGGGGCAGAAGCGCGGGGACCAGACGCATTGTCCCCCTGGCCCCCAAGCGCAGCCCACCCAGGCACTCAGGGCCCCCAGGCCTCCGTCTGCAAGCTCGGCCTGTCTGGCTTGGGGGATAATGGGGGGATACCATTATAGTATTTGTTTTCTCGTTTTTTTTGTTTTTTGTTTTTTTTTTAAACACTGAGTCTCGCTCTGTGGCCCAGGCTGGAGTGCAGTGGCGCAATCTCGGCTCACTGCAACCTTCGCCTCCTGGGTTCAAGCGATTCTCCCGCCTCAGCCTCCCAAGGAGCTGAGATTACGGGTGTGCACCACCACCTTGCTAACTTTTGTGTTTTTAGTAGAGTCGGGGTTTCACCATGTTGGTCACCCTGGTCTCGAACTCCTGACCTCAAGTGATCCACCCGCCTCGGTCTCCCAAAGTGTTAAGATTTCAGGTGTGAGATACCACACCCAGCCTATTATTTGCTCTTAAAAATTAAAACATGTTTCCAAATAAAAGAGAAAAGCAACGTCATGATTCCTAGAACAATTACAAGCAAAATTCTGCCTTTATTGAGAAGCAGAAGGGCACGTGCAGGGAGGCCAAACCCAGGGTCAGACGCAGACAGAGTCCCCTGCCGAGGGCCTCTGGTGTCTGAAGCGGACAGTGGGGCTCTGGAGGACAGAGAGACTGGAGAGGAACAGAGCTGAGAGCTCCCCGGAGGGCTCCCAAGATGAGCCTGTGTGAAGATGGGCCAGGGAGGGGTGGGAGTAGAGGCTCTGGTGGTGTCACAGGTTGAGTGATGTTGAAAGCGGGGATGCAGGCCTCAATTCAGGCCACCAGCAGGGAGGGGGTGACACACAGGGGCTGCTCAGCTGCCAGAGGGTGGGCCTGGGAAATCCCAGGGGTTTCTGAACCTCAGAAGAAGAATGGGTCATACACGCAGGCATGTGTGTGTGTGTGTCTCTGTGCCTGTGTGTGTGTATGCAGCAGCCAGTGGTAGAGGAAGGAAGACAGAGGGTCCCAGGACCCCATAATTCCTCTAGGAACGGCACCATCATCCCTTAATTTCAGGATGGCAGAGGTCAGAATGCACCAAGAGAAAAACTAGCCAAGAACATGATCTAGAAATTCATAAAAGAATTAAAAATGGCCAGTACCTACATGGAAAAATATTCAAGCTCACTAGAAGTCAAAGAAATTTAAATTAAGATACTTTTTTTATTTTGGCCAGGCACCGTGGCTCATGCCTATAATCCCAGCATTTTGGGCAGCTAAGGCTGAAGGAGCACTTGAGCCCAGAGGTGCAGGACCAACCTGGACAACATAGCAAGACCCCATCTCTACGAAAAAACTAAAGTAGCTGGGTGTGGTGGTGACAGCCTATGGTCCCAGCTACTCAGGAGGCTGAGGTGGGAGGATCACTTGAGACCAGGAGTTCAAGGTTACAGGGAGCTATGATTACACCACTCCACTCCAGCCTGAGTGACAGAGCAAGACCCTGTCTCGAATGAATGAATGGATAGCTCTTTCTTTTTTTGCCAATGGCATTGGCAAAGTTTACATGGCTAGCAAAGGTGTACTAAAACAGACACTTCTTATATGGCCTGTAAGTATATAAATGGACATATCTTTTTGGAGGGCAGTTTTGCAAATGAATTAAAATCATTTAAAAGGTTCATACTCTCAGACTCAGCAATCCTCTCCCGTGGAGAAATCGCCTAAAGAAACCAGAGATGGCAACAAATAATTTATCTATAAGAATTCTCAGCACAGTGCCATTTGCAATAGAGAAAAAAATTAAAAAAAAAAAAAGTCCATCAATAGGGTACAAGATAAACTGTGTGTCAATAATAAAAGATGATTTAATATAATAAGAAAATTCCTGTTACAATAAATAGAAAAGCAGGCCTGGGTCCCTGCGCACGTGCCATGCCGGAGTCCCAGCTCCCAGTGGTTTCCGAGGAAACCAGCTAACACAATGCAGATGGGCTGTATTTTTAGAAAGGCATCCTTGAGGCTCTCCCGCTCCCATTTCCATCCTTTCTGATGTGTGCACGCTCACCCATCCATCCAGGGCATGGGGGCTGGGAGAGCTGAAAGAAAGGTCCCCTCCTTGGAAAACTCTTCTGCATCAGGACATCTTAGCCACCTGCTTTCCTGAACACCCATCTCAATTAAAGTCCTTGGTAGCCCTGGGGTGTCCCTGTGGCCCCCCACCCCCAGCCTGTTACGAAACCACCCTGGACACCATCCTCCCCAAGGACCATGCTATTAAAAGGGCTGAGAGTGGGCAGTGCAGGGACAGATGGCCTGTGACGGAGGTGGTGGCGGGGAAGGGGGCAGAGAGAGACCTCATCATCCAGAGAACTGGGAATGGCTCAGCCCATGAAAAACAGACAGTCCAGGGTCTGGCTGGAGTTGCAGGGCTCCAGGACAAAGAGGCCAGAGTAGACATTTCCACAGCAGGGTGGCAGAGAAGTTTCTTCTAAAGAAAGTTAGGATTTTTTTTTTTTTTTTAAGAAGCTATGTGATAAGTTATAAGAAAATGAGAGTCCTACTAATGAAGCCTGGCTAAGGTCCCCAAGGAGTTAAGTAGCACAGAAGTGGGAAGACGCCAGGGTCTATGAAGCGGCCAACAATGGCTCTTTCCACTCCGCCATGCTTTTCCCCTTCTTGATCTCTTATTCCTTAAAGGGACGGGAGCTGCCCTGTCCAGCCCCCAGTGCAAAGACAAGAGCTCTCCCAGGAGGCGTGTGTGCAGGGACCTGCTGGGCAGACAGAAGCTGTAAACACGGAATGGGCCTGGGATAAGTCCCAAAGCTTCTACTTCTTAGGGGTAAGATCTGGAGCCACTGAAACCAGGCCATCATTTCTACCCTATCATTCAATGGCTAGCTTTATTTTGGGCAAATCACTCAAAGCCTCACTTATTTGCAATATGAGAGCATGTTGCCCACCTCAGAAAAGTCTGAGGTGCAATAGAAACAATAAATATATAAATAACTTTTTTTTAGACGGATTCTTACTCTGTCATCCAGGCTGGCGTGCAGTGGCATGATCTCGGCTCACTGCAGCCTCTGCCTCCTGAGTTCAAGTGATTCTCCTGCTCCATCCTCCCAAGTAGTTGGGATTACAGGCACCTGCCACCACGCCCAGCAATTTGTTTTTGTTTTTTTTTGTATTTTTAGTAAAATGAGTTTTTGCCATGTTGGCCAGGTTGGTCTTGAACTCTTGACCTCAGGTGATCCATCTGCCTCAGCCTCCTAAAGTGTAAAAATGACCTTTTTTGTTTGCTCAGAGGGTCTTGGTCAAAACAAACCCTGGCTCTGCTCTAAGGAAACTCCAGGCTGGAGTGCAGTGATACAATCATCGCTCACAGCAGCCTCAAACTCCTAGGCTTAAGTGATCCTCCCACCTCAGCCTCCCAAGTAGCTGGGACCACACGTGTGTGCCACCAGAGCCCCACTATTTTTTTTTTTCATTTTTTGTAGAGATGGGGTCTCACTATGTTGGCCAGACTGGTCTCAAATTCCTGGGCTCAAGCAATCCTCCTACCTCAGCCTCCCAAAGCACTGGGATTACTGGTGTGAGCCACCATGCCCAGCCTAAAATGCCTTTTAAATGAAAGATTTTTGTACATATTTGAATGGAACAAAAAATCACATAGGTGATCAGGGTGTTCCTTGCCTTTCCCTGCCAATTTAAGGTAACTCTGGAGTTTCATTTTTTGTTTTTTCCCTCTTGTTTCTGTTAGATTCATAGCTGCACGCAGAGGGGTGAAGCTGATGTACATAGGGGAGGGATGGTACAAGGGATGAGGGAGAGGAAACAGCCCCTTTGGCTAGGGGACAGTGACATGTCAGAGGCCCCTCAAGGGCAAAAGAGCACCGGGGACTGTGGAAATGGGCTCCTGCGCTGTGTAAGTGTGGGTGGATTCCTTAAGAGGAATTGCATTTCGGTTTAATCACTTCTGGTTGCTGATTTGTGTTTTTTCTCCTTTTCTTCTTTTTTCAAGGCAAACAGGAGCACTCGGCTCCTACCAGGCAGCCAGCAGGCCCCTCCCGCTATGCTTCTGTAACTGTGATTCCATGCTGAGACCCCAGCCAGGTGAATCCTCTGATTTATTAGGGTTAAAAATAGAAGCAATGACTGTGGTCATTCCTGGAACTATCCCATAAATGCTTAAATTGATCAGCAGTAGTTACACATCCTACAGAAAAAAGCAATTGCTGAATCGGGAGAACAAGTGCAGTAGTCCTAGGAGATGGTGGGGGTGTTTGAAAATACACTGGGGGGCCGGGCATGGTGGCTCACACCTGTAATCCTGGCACTTTGGGGGGCCAAGGCAGGCAGATCACTTGAAGCCAGGAGTTCGAGACCAGCCCGGCCAACATGGCAAAACCCTGTCTCTACTAAAAATTCAAAAATTAGCTGGGCGTGATGGTGGGTGCCTGTAATCCCAGCTACTTGGGAGGCTGAGGCAGGAGAATTACTTGAGCCGGGAGGTGGAGGTTGCAGTGAGCTGAGATTGCATCACTGTACTCTAGCCTGGGTGACAAAGCAAGACTCTGAGGAAGAAAGAAGGAAAGAAAAGAAAGAAAAGAAAAGAAAGGAAGGAAAAAAAAAGAAAAGAAGGAAAGAAAGATGAGGGAAGGAAGGAAGGGAGGGAGGGAGGGAGGAAGGAAAGAGAGAAGAGAAAAAAATGAAAATACATTGAAGAATTTGGGTGGTCTCAGTGACTGAGGGTCCTACATTCAGTGCCCAGGGACCACGGGTGAGAAGGGTCATGCAATGTGGGGACAGTGCTACACATGAAGGATCACTCCCCACCCCAGCCCCATAGCTTCACAGTGAGAAACGCTAGAACTGAAAGAGAAGAGAGTAAGACATAAATGGAGTGAAGTTAGAGGATACAGGAGAAGCCAGACAGAGGAACCA